GAGAAACTGCACAAGGGAGTTTGTCGTTCCAGGGGTGTAGGCTGCTACTAGTGTGGCAGTGTTGGCCACGTCAGCAGAGATTGCCCTCAGGGGGCGAGCCCATTGTGTTTTCACTGCGATCAGGTGGGCCACAAGAAGGCCGACTGCCCAACGATGAGGGGAGGAGCAAGGAGTGCGTTTGTCCTGGCTACTTTGAGGATTACTGATGGATGAGAGGATATGGCCTTGTAGTGACAGACGAGGGAGATCAGGATTCCAGCAGCCATGTGGCAGGTATGTATCTTTTGCTCAGTTTGGTATGACCTGTACTTAGAGATTTTGTTTCCTCGCATTGGTTGAGGGTAGTGTATCTATGAGTTTATCTCTCTGCTTGTATTTGGATTATATTTTCAAGAAACGTCATATGCCAATTACATACCGAGAATTATTAGTAGTTAGTGTAAGTTATTCCCTTGTTGTTGGATCGGAAGGGTTTAGTATTATTTTGGTAACGGTCGAGGTCGGTTCCAGGGCATTACGTGACGGTATGCGGTCAGGGTTCAGTAGGGTGGTTATCCACCATCGTTAGGATTCGGCGAAGTTCAGTCTTTGTGCTAGGGTTAGCTTTTGGAAGCATCAAGAGAAGCAATTTATCGCTGAAGAAGTTGCTCGGAGCATCGGCTAATTGGACTTTAAGGTTGAGTGGGACATCAGGTTAAGCTTTTGGGGTCATTAGTATTGGGATTTCAGAAAGCGTTCATCTAGTCATTAGTAATTGTGCGGTCTTTAGAGTGGGCTAGTAATGGATCACTAGCAAGACTAAGCATTGGTAGTCAGTGTATCTATCGTGTAAGGAAGGAAGGAATGGGAATCCTCCAACGCTCACGTGCCGTGAAGACTTAGTCGAATCTAAGTGGGGGAGAAACAATCATGTATACAGAAGCGGGAGCGGTTTTGAAACTGGTATAAGTTTCACATCCATGTCAGGAAGAAAGGTGGCCCAAGCGGCTGTATGGAGTGAAGGTAGTGTAAGTTGGAAATTCGGAAAACTTGCCAATATTGTGGTCGCGTTCTCGTGATGGTTGATAGCAGGTCTTAGAAATCAGGATGGGGATTTCAGTCAGGGCATGAGTTCAGCTTGGGATATTAGATCGTACATGTATGCTCGATTATGGGTGTGTTTGGATTAGTAGTCAGCGAAAGATCATGGTCATCGGTTGAGTTAGTATGGAAAGTGATATAAGACTACGGGATAGTTGTAGCGTTCACTAGTAGCCAGTCAGCGTGGAATGTGTTGTAAGACTGCGGGATAGCCGTAACATTCACTAGTAGCTAGTCAGCGGGGGAAGTGTTGTAAGACTGCAGGATAGCCGTAGCATTCACCAGTGGCCAGATAGCATGAGAAGTGTGGAAAGACTGCGGGGTGGCCCGTAGCATTAGTTAGCAGATAGTATAGAAGTGTTGTAAGACTATGGGGTGGCCCGTAGCGTTCACTAGTTGGCAGATAGAGTAGGAATGTTGTAAGACTGTGGGGTGGCCTGTAGCATTTGTATGTTGGAATAGTAAGACTACGGGGTGGTCCGTAGCACTCGTCAGTTAGCCGTTAGTATATTGGTATAGTAAGACTGCAGGGTGGCCCGTGACATTCATTAGTGGTCAGTTAGTATAGGAGCGTAAGACTACGGGGTGGCCCGTAGCATTCGCCGGTCCCTATTCGGCAGTAAGAATGTATCAGATGCGTGATTCACTTGTGGAGTTCTTCAGATGGGTTAGACCAGGGCAGGACATCCTGCACGGGTAGTCCACAGTATGATTAGATTCGGGAAGCGGTATGTCGTTGAAGACCAGGAGTGATGTAAGACTACAGCGGTTCTGGTAGCATTCACCTTTTGTAGTAGATTCGGTGGCAACGGGTAGTCGAACGGTGTGATCAGGAGGATCAGCAGGAATAATGGAGCCATGAGTGGCAATGTGGATAGAGTAGTTTTTGATAGCCGAAGTTTCTTCGGAAGTCGCTGGGAGCGACTGAGAAAGTGTTCTTTAGTTCAGTAATCGGTGAGAGTCCGGTATTCAAGATAATAACAGATCAGTGGGGACCAGGGTGGTCTCGGTTCATCCGGAAAGCGGATAAGAGACAGCAGGATCTTCGGACAGGTAGTGCTAAAAGAATTCTGGTGTGGAGCAGCTAGTTGACCCGGGAGATGATAAGTCGTTCACAGCAGGATTAAATAATCTCAGAGTAAGGGGTATGACTCTGTTGCGCAGCTCTCATTTGAGTCTAACTGTTGCAGGGACGAATCTTTTACTCGAAGGATTATCTGGTTTACATGCTGAGTTGAGCGTTCAACATCTAGACATAGTAAGTGGAAGCATTCGGTGGGTAACGACGAAATGACCGGCACTGGGAGTAGTTGGGATTCAGTTGCGATGGAGGATTTATCCTTCATAGAAATAGAATAGGGTTTTGTCGCTATTGTACAGTTGCCTTGGGAAGGCCATCGACTGCGTAGGGTAATGGTTGGACCCTCAGGATGTCAAGTGTAGCGGTCCTTTCGGGGATCGTACCGAGCAGACAAAGTTTATACGTTGTATAAGAATTGTTTCGAGCATTCAGGCTAGTTCGGAGTGACTAAAGTGTCCCATGAGAAGCATCAGTTAGTCCGGGATAGATAGCGGAAGTAGAGGGTGTGACGCATGAGAAGTATCCGAGATAGGTAACCGTAGAGGACTTAGAGGACGAAGTCTAGTTTAAGTGGGGGAGAGTTGTAACACCCGGAATCCAGAAGGCTAATTAAAGGAATAAAAACCCCAAGTACAGAAGGTCTACTCGCCGAGTCCAAGGAAGATAACTCGACGAGTAAAAGCAAATCAAGGAAGCGGGTGGAAGTACCTACTCGCTGAGTCGGGGAGGACCAAATTGACGAGTTAGTCTGGGTTTAGGAAACCCTAAATCAGGGTTTTGTACCCTATTTAAGCATTTTTAACCCACACCCCCTGGCCTCATTTACAGCCTCCATTGTCTAAACCCTAACCCACGAAACCCTAGTGCCTTCCATGAGCTTGTGAGCCATTTTTGGGTGTACTTTGTGTGAATTCAAGCTTGTAGAAGAAGAAGAAGTTAGAGGACTCCAAGAGAAGATTGTAGATCCAGAAACAACATTCCATCTTCTTCATTTTCTGGTAATCAAGTCTCTAACTTGACCATTGGTTTCTTAGATCTATTTATTTCATCTTTATGAGGGTTATTTTCCAAGAAGCTTGATCTATGGGTCATGGACGTCCCAAGCAAGGATCTCTTCAAATCTGGAACCATTAAGGGTTGTTATGGCATAAAGGTGCAAACTTTATACCATTAGAGCCCCATGCAAGCTATGGAGATGTCATTTTGGCCCTTTTGAGCCCAAAGGGCCATGCATGGGGGAAAAGACAGAAGCTTTACGAATGATACAGTGCTTAGAATCCAAATCTCAGTTTATATGCTCTGGTTTAGAGTATTGGTGATGTTTGGATCAAGATCTATGTCCTAAAGGACTAGGGTTTTCGCTAAACCCATTAAGAAGGACTAGTAGCGGGTACAGTTGGAAACTTTACCCTTAAGAAGGCAATTTATGTATGTAGAAGAAGTATGGGGTCTTGATCTGAAGATTAGGGGCTTAATCCATTAAGAAGGCCCATGGAGGGACTCGACAAGTTAAGTTGGTATTGTATCGATTCTGTGCAGGAGGAACTCGACGAGTCTGTGAAGGGACTCGACGAGTTGGTTCGTGTTTTCGCGAGGGAACTCGGCGAGTCAGGGGGGTGACTCGACGAGTTGAGTCAACTCGGAGCATTGAATTTGACTTTGACCAAGGTTGACCTAGTTTGACTTTTGAAGGTATTTTGGACTAAGTGTTATTTTGGTACTGATAGCTCGGGGAGCTGAAGGATCAGCAGTTCGGGGAATTACCAGTTAGCAGCCAGAGGATTATCTGCAGGACTTCAGCAGTGCGAGGTGAGTCTCCTCACTGTGTGTATAGGTCTACGGCCACAATTCCAGGCCATTTAGTTTATGTATGGTAGGAAGACTCGGGGGTTAGCCATAGGTATTATGCATGAAAGACCAGGAGGCTGCTCGTGGCACACAGTATGCTATTATGAATGGTAGGAAGACCTAGGGGTTATCCCTAGGCATTATGTATGAAAGACCATAAGGTGGCTCCTGGCACTCTGTATGCTCATTAGCTAAGTGGAGTAGTATGTATGCTAGTTTTCTTTGTGATACTTGCATGGAAGACTAGGAGGCGGCTCTTGGCACTTGTCTGTAAGACCCAGGGGGTGGCCCCCGGCTTGGCAAGAAAGACCATGTGGCGGCCTGTGGCATAATGGCAAGACTATGTACAACACATTGTAACTTATTTGATATATGATTGATATGTATGGATCACGGTTATGTATGGCTCAGTTGATATGTATGGTATGTGGTATCTGGGAAACTCACTAAGTTTCGTGCTTACGGTTTACAGTTTTGGTTTCAGGTACCTCCAGTTTTCAAATAAGGAGCTCAGGACGATCGCAGCGCAATCACCCATATTATTCCGCAATATGTGATCTTTGGGATTAGACTCTGATATTTTTTTTAAGTGAAATATTTTCAATGTCTGGAACAAGGTTATTAAGTGTTTTTCTTATATTAAATATGAAATTTTCAGTCTTGGATTTTGGGATGTTCCACACAAACACATATCAAAGGAATTAAATTCCTTTAGATTAATCTTTGTTAATTTTTTTTTATAAATTTTTTCCTAATTATTGGTTATGTTTTCAAAAATACACAACATTAGCAAATATTCATCAAACTTTAAGTTAATTAAATCATATCTACTATTTTCTTTAAACATGGTCCAAAAACACAACCCTTCCTTCATCTCTTTTCTTCCATATGTGTTGAACACCAACTCCGACGGCGGCCCAACCATCGACACTACCATCAACGGCACCACTAGCGCCAACATCTTCGATCTAGTGTTCTTTTTTTAAATTTTTTAGAGCTTCTTCTTCCTATTGTCGATGACACGCCATTGCCACCACTTTCGCATCTGGACATCCATTGTCACCGCCGCCACGCCCCTACAATCACCGTTGTCTCCCTCGTTCCTGTCTCCTACTATCGATAAACCACAACCTCCAGATCTACGAGCTTCGGCTCCAGATCTATGATTTTTGCCTCTAGATTTATGATTTCCGCCTCCAGATCTAGGAGATTTCACGAGATTGAAGGTTGTTTGTTCAACTAATCTCATGGTCGAGGAAGTACCGGTGAGATCTGACATTTTATGGTCCATTCTCGTGATTCTAGATCCAAGTTCCTTCAGTTGGTTTCGTGTTTTTTAAGTCTCAAATCTTCAAAGTTGTTATCTAGTCAAAATATGAGATTCAACGAGATTGAAAGATGTTTGTTCAACAGATCTCAAGATCGAGGAAGTTCCAGCGAGATCCGACATTTTGTGTTCATGCTCTTGATTCTAGATCCAAGTTCCTTTCGATCTAGTTTGAAGGATGTTTGCTCAACGACTTTCGTCTCCAGATCTACGAGATTCGACGGTACTGAAGGACGTTTGTTTAACAGATCTCAATATTGAGGAAGTTTCGGCGAGTGGTTCATGCTCGTGATTCTAGATCCAACTTCCTTCAGATATGGTTTTGTGTTCTTCAAGTCTCAGATCTTCAAAGTTGTTATCTAGTAAAAATATTTTTGTTCTTCCTCTCCACATCTAGATCTATAATCCACATGTCGCTACCAACCACTGCCGACAACCACCACCACAATTGTTAATTGTTATCATCCTTTATCACATTGTGTGGTGCACACATGGTGTCTGCTAAAATACTTCAACAAAGTGAGGTATCTATTTAAGATGTGAATATTATTAATGTTAGTCTTAAACTGTTTTATTAAACTGTGAATGAGAGTCTGGAAATACTCTATTAAATTGGGAATTTGTGGTGCACACTAGGTGTTTGATGAAATGGTTCTACAAAGTCAAGTATGTTGTTGTGAATACTATGAATAAGAGTCATGAACTACTTTGTTAAACTGTGAATGAAAGTCTTGAATTTTAAGTTTTAAGTTGAGAATATGGCACTAAATGTATAATTTTTGTGTATTAAACTGTGAATTTTTTGTATTAAGCTATGAATTTTGTGTATTAAACTATAAATTGTCTATATTAAGATGAGAATTGATTGTATTAAGATGAACATTTTTTATAAAAAATTTATTTGCTTCTGAAATATTAGATGAAATAAGCATTATACACAGATATGAATTTCTATAATTTTGAATAAAATATATAAAATTTAAACAGTGAAGATTATGTAATTTAAACTTTGAAATAAGCACTAACCATATCTTAAGGTATAAATATAAGTTTTAAGTTGAGAATATGGTTGTGAATGTATAGCTTTTGTGTATTAAACAACGAATTTTATGTATTAAACTGTGAATTAACTGTATTAAACTATTAATTGACTTTATTAAGCTGTGAATTTTTAATAGAATGATTTATGTATGAATGTTTTTATTAATTTTCTTATGAATATATTTATTTTTTTGTTGTCTAAATATGTAAAAATGTATAAGCTTTTATAATTGTTTTGAATTGAATTCTAAATTAGTCAATTAATAGGTTTATTAAACTTTGAATATGAGTAGTATTTAAGATGTCAATGCATGATTTATTATATACAGATCTGATTTTGAAGGTAGGATGGTTGCAGCGGTAGAACAATTGGTTGGTGGTGGCGTGTGGTAGTTGGTGGTGTTGGTAGATTTTGGGTTTCAGTTCTCTGAATCTTTGAATTAGTATAAAATAGATTATATTAAGTTGTGAATTTTATATATTAAATTGTAAACGTACTGTATTAAATTGTGTCTTATATATATATATATATATATATATATATATATATATATATATATATATCAGTGTTGTATAAAACGGCTCAGGCGGCCTCTTACTGTCTACGATTCATGCTAGTCGATCGAGTTAGGTGGAGTCGGTCCTAGGCGGTCTAAGCCGGTAAAAAGCCAGACAGTCAAAATTTTCAAAAAAAATGTTCGATTAGTCAAATTTATGATATTGGGTGACTAAATTATGATGATTGATGACTAAAAATGTTAAAAAGATCACCAATTAGTCTAAAAATTATTACGATGATTTAAATATTTAGACGTTTGAATAGGCCAAAGTTTTATGGTTAATTACTTATTTTGTTAGGATATATGTAATATTGAATTTTTAAAAAAATAAATTATATTATAATTAAGGGACTCCGCCTAGGCGTCGATTAATCCCCGCCTAGACCGATTAGTCCATTAACCTCAGTCGACCGTCTGACCACCGCCTAACGACTTTTACAATTACGTAACACACACACACACACACACACACACAATATATATATATATATATATATATATATATATATATATATATATATATATATGAAAATGATCAAATGAGAACACCTAAAAGGTTGAGAACGTGAGAACAGTTCTAGACCCATAATTCCATAAGGGTAAAAAAGGAATTTTACGATGTAATTAAATATGGATAATTAATAACTCCTAAAATCATGGGATGCTATCTAATTAATTATTTTTTTACCTAAATACTAGAAATGAATTTAATCTATTTTTAATCAATAATATTATTTAGAAAAACGTTGTTACCCTAAATAAAAACGTTTTTTTTAATATTACCAATCTATCAAAAATATTGATGAGTACATCATTTAATCCGAATATGTGTAATCATATAAGAATAAAATATATATGTCATTATATATGAATTTGGTTGTAATCTTAAGAGAACGGATGAATTAAGTTATAATAATAAACAAATATAACAAAACTTATATAGAAAAAATTACAATACAACTATAAACATAAACAAATAAAACACATTAGATATATATTATACATCTATTCATAAATACTAACACAAAAATTTACACTGTAATAAATATCTATTTTCCTATAGTCACATATGAATAGAACATAAACAAAAAGTATAATAAAACTATTATTCTCTAATCATAAATGAATAAGACAAGATCTTTTCCACTTTATCGTGTTTGTTTGTATATTAGCACTCCGACATTCCATTGTAGAAGCATCTCGATTTTTTCTGCACACCGTCAAATAAAGAAATAAATACAATTAACAATTAACTAAATGAAAAAGATTTAGAAAAACATGTTCAAACATGAACAAAATATAAAATACATAAAAATATATAAATAAAACTATATTCATGTGTGAATAGAGCTATATTCATGTATGAATAGAACCTACAACCAATCAATAAAATTAAGTATAATAAATTTAATAATGAATGAATACATAATAACATTAATCAAAAGGAAAGGGACTTACGCGGGAGAGATAAACAGGCCGAAAGATATGACATTAAATAAAGAAATAAATATAATTAACAATTAACTAAATGAAAAAGATTTAGAAAAAACATGTTCAAACATGAACAAAATATAAAATACATAAAAATATATAAATAAAACTATATTCATGTGTGAATCGACTAACAGTTTCAGATTCAAACAGTCAGATCATTATTCACTTATGTTTGTAATCAGTAAAAATAAACAATTTAAATCCCAATGAAATTTCCAATTGGGTTTTAAAGCATCGCCCAAAAATCCCAATTCAAACCCAAAATCCTCACTTGTGATCACCAAACCACCTCAATATAATTTTAATAACAGTAAATCCCAATTGGGTTTTAGTGCATCTTCCTCATAATCATTTATGAATCAGTTATAATTTTAATAACAACAAATTGTGAAAATAATATCAAAAATTAAGAAAATAGCATCAGAAAAATCGAAACATGAACTAGAAGAAGAGTAACACGAATTAAAGCTTACCTGAAACGATGTTGACAATGTCGATGATGGCGGCATAAGTTTCTGATTACTATGGAGATAATGACACCGATAGAAAAGTTGACAATGACGGTAGGAGGGTTTGATTCGAAGCGGCTGAAAGATAGAGACGTGCCCTAGGTATAGGGATTGCAAGCCCTGAATCGGGATTGCAAGTCCTGGGGCTTACGAGAAATCGAGGCGGTCTCTTGGCCTTCGATGGAGTTGGCGATGGTGGAAGTCAAACGGGCAGAGGGTGTGAAGGATCACCAGCGACGACAGCAATAGGGCGACAGGAAGGGAAGAAAGGCTCGCATCGCAGGTGTGACGTCTGATATTCAGGATGTTGTGTCCGATTGCGATCGTCTCCGGGGTTCGAAGAGGTTGAAGAGACAGAGGGAAGAGGGGAAGGAAGGGCGTCGATTCTCCGGCGACCCTTGTGGCTATGAAAATCGAAGGTGTAGATGATGGAGGCGGTGAACTGATTCAACCCTAGGGAGAGAGAGAGAGAGGGAGAGAGAGAGAGAGAGAGAGGATGAAGAGGATACGTAAATGGAAATAAGAGTGAGAATGAGAAATTATAGGATTGACCTAAATTTCAATTACTGTTATACCCTTATGCCATTTTAAAAGTTACACTTTACTACAAATAGTTTTAGAATTAACATAAATTACCCGTTTGATAATAGCCTTAGATTTGAATATTTATATGGATCAAATATGTTCTCGCGTTCTCAACCTTTTTGGTGTTCTCAATTGATCCTACTCCTATATATATATATATATATATATATATATCTATATATATATATATATATATATATATATATATATATATATATATATAATGTGACTTTATACCATTTACCTAACATATATAATTAATAGAATTTGTGATTTTAGAAGTGACTCGACATCTGAAATCTAAAATCTAAAGAAGGATTACTTTTTGCCAAATCAAAAACTATACCAATCTCACAAGGAATCAAGCAGTTTACACTAAGAGGTTGTTTGATAGTTGTTGATTGAGTTAGAGCTTACTGAGTCAGAGGTGTAACATCCATAAAAATTAAGCCAAATTAAAACATTTTAATTCATTCAAAAACCATTAAGTTCATACATCTCGTTTTCAAAATAGTTTAAACATCAGAGTATCCCCCAGAACCATATCACATAAATCATAAAACATGAGGAGCGGTACGATCACGCCTTCGCCTTGCCACGATCTCCTGAACTACCTGAAACAATACACTGAAACTCTAAGCCCGAAAGCTTAGTGAGTTACCCCCAAAATACCAACCACACATAAACATACTCATAACATATCACAAATAAAACAGCCATGCACATCGGGTCTACTGTGTGACTGGTCCGCCCGCACCGGGCCTTCAGTCCACCT